CTCCCAAGGCAGAGACAGAAAAATGGGGAAATTACGCAGGAATGCCGTCCTGGTCACTGCGCCTCTAAAGCGGCCTTCACTTCAGGAGGTGGCGTCCTCCAGCACCGCCATCTTGCAAAGTCCTTTGCATTTCCGCGTGATCTCAGATTCAGCTGGGCAGCTTCTACCGCAAAGCCTGGGTGTTTGGCGATCGTGGGAATCTCTACCTCCGTTTGGGAAGATGTCGGGCGTCACCACCCGCCACCCTCTCGCGCACCCCGCCTCCTCGCTGCTCCTGAGGAGGTCGAGCGCGACCGCGCGTCTCACTCAGACGGGATCGTACCGCAGGGCTGCCGTTTCGCTCACTGGGGTGAGGTCGTGTTTGGCGACTTGAGATGACGCCAGGACTTTCCATTATCGGAGGCCGCCCAGGGACGGCACGACGCTCATCTGGGTTTCGGGACATTAGGACACAGAAGCAGAGGGCTCCTTGCACCTCATTCGTGCTCGACTTGGCAGGGACATGCGTGTAAACCACGGGAGCCACAGCTGTGCTCTCAGAGAGCCCGCTGGAGGAGGGAGGTTGGGTCACATGTCAAAGATCAGAGGGTGAGTCAGTTTCCTGGGGCCCCATCACCGAGGTGCACCCCCCACAGGCACAGGAGACGGTCCCCCCTGCCTCTTCCAGCTTCCAGGGGCTCCTGATGTCCTTGGCTTTATGGCCACATGGCCCCAGTCTCTGGCTGTCCCCATGTCTCAAATCTCCCTGTGCCGCTCTCTGAGGACACCTGTCATTGTTCTAGGACCCGCCCTAAGCCCGGGATGATCCCATCTCAGATCCTTCCTTAACTTAATGACCTCTGCAGAGATCTGTTTCCAACAAGGTCGCGTCACAGGTCCTTTGTGGGGGGAGGGGAGCACCATCCAACCCGCCACGGAGGGAAACTCTTCAACCCCAGCGCTCTTACCCGTCGCAGCGGACGTCTGCTGACCACTGGTCACCTCCAGTCACCGCCCCGTGGGGACCAGCCTTGCCCATCCTGGGCCTGTGGTCTTGGGGCCGATTCTGGGATGACACGATCCAAACATAAGCCAATCAGAGCACCCCATCTCCTCTGGCCACAGTGATTGGCCCAGGGAAGGGCACTTTGTCCAATCAGAGCCCACGAGATACAGGGATCCGTTTCCTGCACGTCCTGGTGAGAAAAAGACGCTTTTCTTGCTCACACTTGAACTAAGGTTTGCATCTGCGGAAAGCCATCTCCCCGCCACGAGGACGGTCTGAGGTTAAACTCAAGCCAGAAGATGTGCAGCTGAGAGAGAGACAGGGACCCCCGCCCATCCCGCAGATACCCTTCGAGCTCTGGCCACGCTGGCCCCAGGTCCGACGCAGCCCGGACGTTCCCTAGAGATGAGCCCCTTTTACTTCAGCCAGTCTCGGCCGGCTCGTCCACCACCCGCACCATTCCACAGCCATGTTCCCACCCACCAGAGAACGGAGAGTGTATCTGGAAGGTTCTATCACCCTGCTAGCTCCTGGGAGCCTTGTGCCCTCCCCGCGAATGGCCGGGCGCCCAGGGAGCTCTGCGTCCGTTTCCCAGACAGCGGGCGATGGGCTCGCAGAGCGCGGCCCTGTTCGGTGAGGGCAGCGAGCGGATGAAGCGATGAGTAAATCAAGGGCAGCCGCTGTCGCGGGCCGAGTGGTCACCGGAAGCGGAGTCTAAATCAAACGAGAGGTCGCTGGGAACGGTGCCTGGTAGGTGAGAACGGGGGTTCTCTGTCCCGGCCCTGAGCAGTCTGCGGGGCCCCAAGCGGGGGAAGCACCGGTGTCAGCTGCTGCCCCTCAGCCACGTCAGGTGTGAACCTGTCCTCGCAGGCAGGAGCTCTTCAGAGCAGGCGCGTGTAGCCGGGCCAGGCCCAGGGCACCATCATGGAGGGAGAGTCCACCAGCTCCCTCCAGCCCGCACACGGGAGAGACGGCGGTTTGCTTTTGCTGTGGTGACCACGTGTGAGGGCACGTGAGGGCGCGTGAGGACACGGTGAGGACACGGTGAGGTCGCAGTGAGGACATGGTGAGGGTGCGGTGAGGACACGGTGAGGACATGTGAGGACGCGGTGAGGACGCGGTGAGGACATGGTGAGGTCATGGTGAGGACGTGTCAGGTTGTGTGATGTCGTGTGAGGACGTGGTGAGGGCGTGTGAGGTCGTGTGACATCGCGTGAGGACCCAGTGAGGACACGATGAGGACACGGTGAGGACATGGTGAGGACACGGTGAGGTAGCAGTGAGGGCGCGGTGAGGACATGGTGAGGTCGCAGTGAGGACATGGTGAGGACACGGTGAGGTTGTGGTGAGGGCATGGTGAGGTCGCGGTGAGGACGCGGTGAGGGCGTCTGAGGGCGCGGCGAGGGTGGCTGCGCGTGTCGGCGCCGGGTGACGCGTACAAGTGTTCCAAGGTCTGTGCTGGCGGGCGCTGGCCCCGCGTCTGCTCCTTCACTCGTTACAGGAGTCTTTATTAAGCACCGCCTGTGTGCCGGGCATAGCTCTGGTCCTTGGTCTGTGCGGTCCTGTGGGGCTTCGGTCCTGGCTGGGGAGACGACCCAGAGGGGGCAGGTACAGGACGTGGCTTCGGCAGGAGGGCTGGCTGAGAGGACACGTGGCTGCCCGGGGGCCTGAGGCTGCACCTGCCGCCTCGCTGGGTGCCCCGCCTTTCCCCTCCCTCTCCCGGCTCCAACGCCTGCACCTTCTGGAAACGTCTCCTCTCCAAATTGCAGCTGCTCCTGCAGTCACTCGTGAGACGTATTTCCTTCCTCGAGACTTCTCTGTTTTACACGTTTTGCAAGTTCATGAAAATTGTGCTTTCCAGCTTTTGTCCTCTACAGAAAAATGGAGTGAAGTCTTCTTGTCAGAAAGCGTTTCTCTGAGTGACGAGAGCCCCGGGCAGAGAGTGCACGGCCCGCGTCAATGCGATGGTGACGCACAGCAATTGTCCCTTGGACGGTGTCGCTGCCGGCTCGGACCCCGGCTGTGCGCCAGGCGGGCAGGGCTGCCGTGCGGGAGGCTGGCTCCGCAGCTGTGCCACGCGGCTCCCGAAGCTGGCGGCTTGGGTCGAATCCCAGCACCTTCAGCCGCCGCCTAGCGGGGGAGGCTCCTCGCTTCCAAACGGGGGGTTTGGCTCCTCCTGGGGCCGTGGTGGGGATCAGGTGGGCTGCGGTGGGGATCGGGTGGGCTGCTGTGTGCAGGGCCTGTGCCCAGTGCCACGTGGCTGCCACCATTGTCAGTTTCTTTCTAAAGCGGCTCTGACCCTGTGCTCACCCTCAGCCCCCAGGAGCTCCAGGACCCCTTGGACCCCAGCTCTTCCTCCCCGCGTGGCGTGGGCGCGGCTGGTGCTGTGGGTTCAGCGTCCCCCCAACAAGCACGTGTCGGGTCTTCACCTCCAGGACCTCAGGGTGTTGCAGATGTGCTCAGGGAAGATGGGGGAGCCCCCAATCCGAGGTGACCAGTGTCCTTATGAGCCGGACAGAGGGGCCCGTGTGACACTCGAGTCCTGCCACGGAGCCTGCCCTGCCTGGGAAATCCCTGCTTTGTAAAAAATCTGCTAAGGTTTTCTGTGTTGCAAAGACATGATCACTTTCTGTAAATATTCTGTGGGCATATGAAAAAAAAATATATTTTCCCTGAAAGAATGAGGGCACGTATTACGGGATTCCGTTGTTGTCTCACTCTCTGGGTCTTTCCGATTCTGTTCAGCATGCCGTGGAGCACGCCATCTTGTCATCAGATTCTCCTCACGTTTCTAGCGGTTTCCCTTCTTAGCTGCCAGGTAACTCTGCGGTAAGGGTTTATAACCCTTTCGTCTCCTTCAGAGTTAACCCTCTTTATCACGGTTAGTGTTTGTGACGTGAAATTCCTCCCGTGATGTTTGTGCTGCCGTCCGGTTCTGTGGTGGCGCTAGCAGTGCCTGGTATCTCGTTCCCATTTTATTATACTTCCAACTTTCTTAGTCACTTTATTTTAATGATGTTTATTATAAACAACGAATGCAGGGGTGTGTGTGTGTGTGTGTGTGTGTTGAACTTAACTGAATGGCCTCTGCCATTTTAGGAGAGATTTAGTTTATTTACATTTATTATAGTGGCCGACTTACTCGATTGGATTCCTGCTATATCACTGTGTCAAGTTATGTTTTTGTTTCCTCTTTCATCCATTTCTTTGTTTTTGTCAGTCTGACCAAGTTGCCACCGTTCCCTCTGCTCCGTCACATGAGCAGCTGCCTGTCTCAGTCTCACAAGCAAACTCGCGTTCTTCCCGCGCGTGAACCCGGCACTCTGGCATTTCCCGCCAAGACTCTCGCTGCCGTGCGCGCCCCACGTCCCCCGCGCGGAGCACCCTGCTCTCCTTTCCCGCCAAGATGAAGGCTCCTCCCTCTGCGTCACACCCCTCGACCCTTCGGCCAGCCGACTGTACTTGTCACTTTTTGTTCCCACACCCGGCCTCCCTGCAGACGTCTCTTCCACCCCAACGACCCTCAGTGATATTTGCGTCCCACCTTGCTGGGCGTCCGTCCACCCGCGTGTAACGCCAGGTGACAGGACTCGGCTGGGAGCAGGGTCCTCCCGGCTGGCGCGTCCTGTCCAGAGACCAAGACCTGCCCCCAGGCCCCGGGGCACAGCTGGGGCTGGGGGAGGGGAGGGGCGGAGCGCTCCGGTCCGCGTGGACCGCACGGCCTTTCCCCTCTCTTCCGAGCCTTCCGAACTTGCGGGGAGAAGGGCTGGGTGTCCCGCCCCCGGGACTTGAACGCCTCGCAAGCTGGAGCTTCCGCAGGTCGCAGCGAGGACTCGGGGGGCTCAGGCTCAGCGTGGCAGGTGGGGGGCGGGGCGCGCGTGGCTCCTGAGGGGACCACGCTGTTTCCTCGCACCCCGTGAGGCGGTTTCCATCCACAGCTGGTGGCACCCAGGCCTGTCCCCTCGGCGTCCTGCGGGGCCTCCCCGCCCCCACCCCAGCCAACTCTGTCCCGCAGGTGCAGACAGATGACCTACTCCCAGGACCTGCCCCAGGTCTCCGTGGTCTTCATCTTTGTCAACGAGGCCCTGTCTGTCATCCTGCGCTCGGTGCACAGCGTGGTCAACCACACGCCCTCCCAGCTGCTCAAGGAGGTCATCCTGGTGGACGACAACAGCGACAACGGTGAGCGTGGGCCGTGGGCGTGGGCAGGGCTAGGCGGGCGTCGGCTGCAGAGCAGCTACAGCAAGGACCGCACAGGCCAGAGGAGCAGGGGGTTCATCCTCCCCAAGCTCTACGGGCTGGGTCCGTGGCGCGGTGTGGCAAGGCCACGCTCCGTCCGGCCACGTGGGTCTTCTGTGCTTACGGGCTTTGCTCCCGCGGGGCTCCCGGCGCTTCAGCCCCGGTCTCGCTGGCCCTGGCCCGGCCTGCTGCACGCTGAGGCCCGAGTCTCTCCCCGCAGTGGAGCTCAAGTTCAACCTGGACCAGTACGTGCACAGGAGGTACCCGGGCCTCGTGAAGATCGTGCGCAACAGCAGGCGGGAGGGCCTGATCCGGGCGCGGCTGCAGGGCTGGAAGGCGGCCACCGCCCCTGTCGTCGGCTTCTTCGACGCCCACGTCGAGTTCAACACGGGCTGGTAAGAGCCGGGGCAGGCTGGACGTGGGTGTCGGTCGGCCCCTCCCTGAGCTGGGCTAGCGCCTGGGCTGCGGCTCTCAAAGCCGTGGTTTCCTTAGCAGCGTGTGCTGGGGGGCAGGGCGTGGGCACGGCCCGGGCAGGCGCTGCTGTGGAGGGAGCCTCTAGCGCAGCCACCCCCGCCCACAGGTGGTTCTCACTGAGACTCTGCTTCCTTCTGCTTTGCCTTCCCCTCGCTGCTGTTTCTCTCCTCCCTGCCAGCCCGTGAGGCGACTCCTCTTCTCCTGTGACATCTATCACCTTCCAACACTTGGTGTCATTACCTATATATCACCATCTGACCCCACCGGGGTCGATCCAGACCGTTGTGTAGGTTGCGCACTTCACAGCCGTACTTGGTGGCCTTTCAGTCAGTCCCTCTGATGCGGTGTCAGCAACCTGAGGCACAGAGGGTGTTTGGGAGAGCCATGAGTCTGCAATTTTAAACTGGTACCACTTTCATTTTCGCGAGTGAAAACGTGGTTATCCATCTGCAAATAGCACTCGCCTCCCAGAACTGCCTCCCCAGAAGACCCTGCCTTGTCAGCAGCCGTGGCATTTGCAGGGAGCTTTTCATCTCCAAAGCACTTTGTTAACAGTAATTAATTAATCCTCCTCACAAAGCTGAAAGGCCCATAAACACCAGGGCTCTTGCTCAGAAGCAGGGGATGGAGGGATGAGGGCAGCCGCGTGGCTTGCGGGCAGGGTCAGGGCCTCGCCCCTCCCCAAGCGGGACCCTGAATCTGCTCTGGGCCCCGCCCATCCCTCACTGTCGCCTTTGGGCATGGGTGGGGCGGCCGAGTTCCAGCTGGGATGGCAGGTGCTCCGCGGGTGTCTCATCCTTGCAGGATGCGCGAAGTCCCCAGGAGCGAGGGCCGCGCTCCTTTCCCCTGGGTTTCCTACATGGAAGTCCCTGCAGAAACTGCTGTCCCTCTGGTCACCCTCCTCTCTGCTTCATCGCCGACCAACCCGCCAGGTCTGTCTGCTCCAGCTGCCTGGCCGGAACTCCGAGGCACACGCCAGGGTCGTGGTGTGGCTGCTCCCTCTTGCTGGGTTCCCTCCACACCCTCCCGTCACACCGGGACAGCCACACAGATGCCTTATTAAAACTGCAGCTCCTGACCACTGCCTCACTGCCTTTCTTCCCCGTGATGCCTTCCGCCTTCTGACATATCCTGTTATTTATCTAGAATCATTGTCTGTCCTCTCACCCCACCCAGTCAGGACCATTGCGCACTGTTGGGTAGGTTCCGCACTGCGCAACAGCGCCTGGTAGCTTTTCCATCCAACCTGTTGTAGGCTCCCTGGGGCATGGATTGCTTTCCTTTTTTAGTAGAAGAATCTTTTCCAATTTGTTAGAGCAGAGCGTGGCACATAATAGATCCTCATTTAATACTTACAAATGAATGTCCCTTCCACAGGTGCAGGAAAGGAGGGGCGGGAGGCGGCGTTGGGCTGAAAGAGAGGCTGAGCTGGGAGCTCAGGACAGACGTGGCGGAATCTGTGGGCCTTGCACTTCCCTCCCTTGGGAGAGCTGGTCTCTCCCAGGGAATGGGGGAGGCCCTGGGACCCCGCCTGTCCTCACGGCCCACATGTCTTACGCAGGGCTGAGCCCGCCCTCACCCGGATCCAGGAGGACCGCCGGCGGATCGTGCTGCCGGCCATTGACAACATCAAGTACAACACGTTCGAGGTGCAGCAGTACGCCAACGCGGCCCACGGCTACACGTGGGGCCTCTGGTGCATGTACATCATCCCCCCACAGGACTGGCTGGACCACGGCGACGAGTCGGCGCCCATCAGGTGAGCAGAGGGCGGGGGGTGGCGGATTGGGGCAGTGGCCGCCACATGGGCTTGGGGACAGGAGGTGGCTGCTCCTGCAGGGAGCTGGCCTGACGGGACAGAGGGAAACGTTGGCAGAGCAGAGGCCCGGTGCTGCCCAGGCGCGCAGATCTCAGAGAGGGGATCGTGGGCCGGTGGGCGGGCTGGCCGCATCGGTGACCAGAGGGGGGCGGCAGGGACGGCAACAGCACAGCCGCCGCGAACTGTGAGACGACGAACGTGGCACTAAGGACAGAGACTGACGGTCCTCCAATCTGACCCCCGCGAGGTCTCCTGCCAAACATTTATTTTCATTTTGACTTCATTCCTTAAACATACAAAGGAGGGATTTTAACATTTTGGAAACACACAGTGCTGGCACCTCTAGAAACCCGGGAGGCCTGGCAACACCAGCCCCACAGCTGCAGCCGGGAAGCACCGCGTCCCGCAGGTGTCGTCCGAGCAGTCGTTGTCCCTGCTTGCCACACTTCCTGCCACTCTGCTGTGTCCCTGGCATTGCCTGTCACTTGCAGGGTCAGTTCTCTCGTACCTGGCTCACTTTATCGACTCCCACCACCCATGACAACTGTCACATGCAAATTCAGAGTCACAGGCGAGATCCTGTCAGACATGACTTCCCTCACACGCA